TAGTGGCGTCGTGGATCGCCCTAATAAGCTGTTTATTAACTTACGTAAATGGTGAGTACTGATGCAATGTCAACATTTATATTTTATTACATTAGATTATCGGTTCAGTTCTTAGCAGCTGAGCATTCAAACACCAGGTTTTATTGCAAGAAATAGGTAATTCGCATTACTGAAGAATGCGTTAAGGTAGAGTGCAGTTCTTCACCAAACCCTTTCTGTAGTAACCTACCTAACCTGCAACATATTTGTTCAATGGCCCAAATTTAATTGAACATTATAATGTGGTAAAATGTATTATAATTTTATATGTATACTGTCTACACATTAATGACATGATAATAATAACAACAATAATTTCATTGATGTTTCTTCTTTCCTATCTTTCAGTATAAATAATATGTTCAGGACTGTGTTTTTTGTGTATTTTCATCCAGACATACCACTGTTTGATGAATTTGATTAGTTTTATGATTCCATCATTGATGAAAGCATTTGTTAAAATATTTGCAATAGGCCTTAAATCTATCCGTATAATAAGAAATGTTTCTAGTACTTAAATAAACAAATAATTACACACACACAGACATACATACATACATACATACACACTAATATACTAATACACATGCATGGAAGTGCAGTAATTAAGTTAGGTGGCTCTTCTGTTTTTGCATGGCAACATCACCATTTTCACTACATTGAACTGTAAAGATAAATAGTTGTTAGCTTCTTTCTATAATTGACTTTACCTCCAAGGATCCCCAATATTGTACCTGTATCTTTGTACTTCATTCCTCCCAGTTTTTGACTTTGTAGTTCTTTTGTTCAACATTTTTTGTCTGATGTGAATCCCATTAATAATTCAGCCCCAAATCTGATACATGAACACATTTTGATTAAATTTAAAAAAATCTTATTGTCAGTTGTAAATATAATTCCTTGTTATAGTTAATGAATATGCACAGTGTGCAGAATTCTCAGGAACAGAAAGTAATTCATTTAATACAGTAGTATGGTAATGTACAAGATACATCATTGACTTTTCTCATTAATTTAAAATTGTTATTACTCTGTGTTCTGTTATGAATTTTATTATTCTATGATAAATTATAAATCCTGAAGCAATCATTTGTTGTTTGTAACTACCAAGAAAGGCATTTGAAATGTGCAACACATACCTAGAAATGATAACATCAAAGCATCATAGAACCTTAATTATGGAACTGTATAAGCAAGATCAGTACAACAGATTGTATTCTCCTACCTAAAGCTTGCATTGATCTTGTTTAAAGTAAATGAGAATATACACAACATCACCTGTCAGTTTCCTAATACCTGAATTTGTGTTTTGATTTCCCTTCATTGCTGAAAGGAATAACTACTAACTCCATGGAGAAGAAGCTGCTAGTCTAGAAATTCCCCACCTTTTATGGAACCAAAAGGTTCATTGCAGAGTCCTTAAGAGCCACCGCAGGTCCCTGTGTTATACTGTATGAATCCATTCCACACCCTAAACCCCATTACCCTAAGGTCCAGTTTATTCTCCCATCTAGATCTTCTGAGTGGTCTTCTTCCTTCAGGCTTTTTAACCAAAATTTTGTACACACTTCTCAGTTCCCTGTGTGTCCTGCATGCCTTGCCTATCTGATGAAATGGATGCAGGGTCAAAATAAAATAGTTTGTGAAACACTGCTTTAGAAAATTTGGTAATGTTTGCCACCAGGTGCTGTCTACCTAGAACTTCATGAAGTAATAATGTTTGGTGTCACTGGTTTAGAAATAAAGATACACTTTAATTTTAAATATTTTATATCCTGTGAAGCAGGACTTAATAATTTTCTTTGATATCTGGAAATTCATTAATGTGTCTACAAGTTCTGTGAGAGCATGTTTTACTGATTAAGGTAATCTAATCACACAAAATTGTGATAAGTGCTCTAGGATCTCAGTAGGGCTGTGTTGCTGAGTAGACTACAGCATCTCTTTAAATGAGCATAGTAAACTATGTGTTTGTTTTTCTCTTATTGGTATAATAAAGATAAGGTACTACTTGATCCTCTCACCATACTTCTTTTACTAGCAAGATCTAAGTCAGATGCCTAGAAGTAGTGCCCCTTCAACAGTTTAACTTTGAATGGAGACTTCTGTGTATCTTGGCTCGGTTTTATCTAAAAATGACAATTTACACTATCCCAGAATTTGGCTGGAGAGACTGAGGAAAACTGTATTATGTGAGCTGTAATCTGAATTTAGGGCATTCAGAATACAGAGTAGGATTTCTAGTTCCCAATCTGCTAAGTTTAATGAGCTGTATTGCATGGCTGTTATTTCTACATAGCTTTTTTTTCAGAACAGAATAAATATATTGATGAATTAATTGGGGGAGGGGATGAAAATCAAATGATGAAGATTGTACTAATATGCAAAATTATTATTTTGGACTGTGCCCTTTATCTTAAATTATAAGATAATAAAACAGCATTTAAGAAACTTGATTCTACTTTCATCATCAGGAGAAAAGGGAGTAAAAGAGGTCAGAAGCCTACCTGTTGGGCCGGACCTGGTTTAGCTAGCCTCAGGTTTGAGGCTCTTTCCCCCCTTTTTACCTGATCACAGAAGCAGAATTCTGCTTCCAAAACCCTTGTTTATTTTATAATTTAAGATGATGGAGTCTGAAAAAACAATTTTACATTTAATGCAGCATTATCAGAAACCTTGAGACTTCTGAATACTTTGTACTCTTTGCATGATATTGTAGGGTGATTAAATCATTGTGTGGTCAGTGGAACATGTAGCATGCATGGTTATAAAACTTCAAGACAAGCTATCAACTGGAAGTTCTAGATGCTGATGGGTGGAGAATGTTAAAATCGGTCATAGATTAATAGGGTGTGAAGACATTGACGGATAGTAATTCAATGAAGCATGAAGTTCATATGCATAATATTTAAAAATATAGTAGTTCTTTCCTCAAAGAAAACACGTCTTCATTACAGAGATCACATGTTTAATACTGTTGAAGGAAACAATTGCTGTTTATTAAGATAATTGGGTAAAACCAATAAATGCACTCTGTAGACAAAATGCAAAGTTACTGATTGTCAAAGCTCTGTGCTTTAAAGGGTTAAATTGTTCACTACAGATTGCAATGGCAGGATTTTGTGAGCAGTTTTTAACCATGAGGTACCACAAAAGCTGGTAATTTCTTCATCCACATCTTTTGCCATTTTACTAACTTCTGGATCCATGGAATGTAATAAATATATATTACCTGTAATGTTGATCAAGAGGGAAACATAGCTCAAGCCATAGGATGGAGTGTTGGACTTTAAATTGGATTAGGACCCAGCAGAAGGCTATTCACACAGGAAGAGGAGGTTATGCTATCAGAGATCCTTCCTTCACAGAGACAGATAACTGCTTCCGATGTAGCATTGGAACTATTGTCTTCTTTAACTGGTTAAGCTATTAAAATGATGTGCTATAAATTAATGGTTTTATTCTCACAGGTGTTAACTGAGAGATGACTTCCCTGTGTGAGACTGTTGCAGTGTAAGATGCCATGTAAAAAGTCTCTGGCGGTTTTCACGCCCGTTCATTAACCCATTCACAGCTTATATATTTTAACATTATGAAAGAATTACCATAACAGATATACAGAGTAGTACTAAGTGAAATAAATTGTTATAATCTGGAGGGCATTTATGTAGAATAGGGAGATGAGAAATGAAAACAAAAATTCCCAAATCTTTTTAGAATCTAAAACAACAACATGGCTGCTGCACGAAATCTATATTTAACGAATTGTTTGAAGGCCATAACTAATCATCCATTGTAGGTAAATCATGAATGTATGTGCAAATACATTCATGATTCACATACACATGCTATATATTTTGTGTGAATTGTTTTACAAGGACTATTGGTTTACTATATAATATGGAAATCACTATACTTCCACGTGAATTCGTAATGATCTTTTGGGATATATACTACTTGTGCACTGAGCTCTGTGTTTTGTGGTTGGTATGTCAGATAGTCTTGACGTCACAAAGGGAAGCCGACAGCCCCATGCTGATGTTGAATCGGGCAACAAAATCTTGCATCTCAGGTTGTTAAGAGGGGCAACGAGAGACCTTGGTCATCACATCACCTCGAGATGTAAATTGTTTTTCATTGCGAACAAGACCATGCAGTGTACTTAATTATTCCTGGAGGTGTGAGGAAAGGGGATGCTAAGTTGACTGTACCCATGTCTAAAGGAGATGCAACAACAACAACAATAATAAGTCCATAAAGCAGGATCTCCTTTGCATCTTTTAATATTCTGTACGAGATTTGAGGTTCTCACGGCGTTGGTTTTGTGTTAACGCTGTGTGGATTCAGCATCCTGCCGTGTTCTCAATCACCCTCGACAGTAGTAGTAGTATTGACATCAATATCCTGTCAATCTTATTGCTACTGCAATAATATTGTCAAGATATTAAAACAGTGTTCTAGAAATTTTCGGACAAATGCAGGTGTCCGTTTAAACCTTGTTCTGTTGCAGACAGTTTTTACTGTGCATGTACTGCAGCGAAGGACGCTTTAACATTTGCTTGTAATTCGTAGACCCTTTGATGTGTCATGCCTGTCCAGAGCCGCTTAGCTTAATTGTCATTTCCGCCTCACAACTGTTTACATTGTTATGGTGCATAAAGGGACCATCTAATGACAACTTTAATGCGTGTAAATATAGGCGTGGTATGCTGTTAAAATATTTGTTTCTGGTTCCGCCTGTAATTTAGGTTTAATTGCTTCAAGCAATTGCGATGGTTCCTGCATCCAAGGAGTCCTAATATAAAACCTCTTCAGTAGAGGAAAACAGAGGCTAGAATCGAGATATAGGGGCAAGAAGACTGTTGTGGTTATTATTAAGATGAAGGGGGTGTTGTTTAGGTTAGGTTATGTTAGGTTAGAGCCAGCGTAGCTCAATCAGCTACGGACTGGACGACCTTGGTTCGATCCCCGGCGGGGGCAGAGGATTTTTCTTCTAGCCTCTGCATCCAGAT